CTACCGAAATCCATGTTTATCCTTATATACACTTTGAATAAAGACTCACTAACACCCTGTGATATGCAGATGACACAACCTTGCTTATTGAAAGTGAAGAGGACTTTAAGCACTTAATGATGAAGATCAAAGATTGTAACCTTCAGTATGGATTACACCTTGACATAAAGAACACAAAAATCCTCACAACTGGGCCAATAAGCAACATTATGATAAAAGAGAAAAGATTAAAGTTGTCATGGATTTCATTTTACTTGGATCCACAATCAAAAGAGCTCTGGTAGTGCAGTGTTTAAGGCATTTGGCTCCTAACCAAAAGGTTAGTGATTCAAACCCACCAGGTGCTCAACAGGAGAAAGATGAGGCAGTCTGCTTCTGTAAAGATTTATGGCAGTTTTACTCTGTCCTATAGGGTCACAATGAGTTGGAGTTGAATCACCTGCAGTGGGTGTGGGGTTTTTGGTTTTTGGTCTACAATCAATGCCCATGGAATCAGCAGTCGAGAAATCAAATGACTTACTGTGTTGGGCATATGTGCTGCAAAAGACCTCTTTAAAATGTTAAAGAGCAAAGATGTAACTTTGAAGACTCAGGTGCACCTACCCCAAGCCATAGTATTTTCAGTCACCTCATATCCATGTGAAAGTTGGGTAATGAATAAGGAATAGCAAAGAAGCATTGATACATATGAAATGTTCAATATGCATGTTGAATGTACCATAGATTTTGAGAAGAACAAACAAACTTGTCTTGGAAGAACAGCTAGATTGCTCCTTAGAAGCGAAGATAGCGAGACTTCATCTCAGGTACTGTGGACATGTTATCAGACGGGCCCTATCCCTGGAGAAGGACATCATGCTTGGTAAAAGTAGAGGGTTGGCAAAAAAGAGGAAGACCTTCAACAAGATGGATTAACATGGTGCCTGCAACAACAGACTCAAACATTGAAACGATTGTGGGGATGGCGCAGGACCCAGAGTGTTTCATTCTTCTGCACAGAGGGTCGCCTTTGGGTCAGAACCTACTCCATGGATTTAACAGCAAGAAAAACACACATTTAAGAAACTTAATGCTGGACAGATCCCAAATTACAGAGAAAGCCATTGAACCTCCACGGTCACTGGGTGGCGCCTATGAGCACACAGAACCTCTTCCCTTTGTACCGAGTGTCCTAGAAACCGGAAGCGGAAGTGAGCTTCCACGTCCAGCAGCCATGTTTGGGTGCCCTTCTCCTCTGGTGGAGGTGGGTTTTGAGTCTGTCGTGTCCTTCCTGGTCCAGTGTTAGGTGCAGCCCGCGGGGCTAAGGGTACTATTCTTGCTCTCTTGCGCAGTCTCCACTTCTGTAGCAGGGTGTGTCTGGGGCTTCCCGTTGCCGCCGCCGACGCTTTCCTGCGGCAGCCGCCGCCTCCTTGCCGCTGCGGCCCCCGCGGCCGCTGCTTCCCTGTTGCCGCCGCTGCTTCCCTGCCGCCGCCGCCACTTCACTGTCGCAGCCGTTTTCTCCAAGAGCCCAGCCCACCCTGCACGTTTTCCCCTGGTTCTCAGTTCCTTTCTGCGCATCCGGGGTCGGGACAGTGGAGTTGGTGGACTGGACCTAGATCTCCGTGCATTAACAGGTAAAATCGTGTGAACTCTCCCGAAGTCAAATGCTTCTCAGACCAGTAGCGTCAGCTACAGCTGGAAGTTTATGAGAAATGCAGAGTCACGGGCCTCCTGGGAACCCAGCGTAGTTAGCCTGCCTCTGAACGCCCTGCTGCGGCGCCTGCAGTTGGCGTCTCACCATGCTCGCCTTTGTTTTCTGTGATTCATCAAGCCAGGACTATTGTTAATTACTGCTGATCAAACAGAAAGTAAGAGTGTGGTGAGAAACATGTCGTCTATCCGTTAATGGCTGTAGATTTTTAACACAGACGAAGAATTAAGAATCATGATTTGGAACTAATAGGTGAATTCAGGAGCCCGTTTATCCAATTTGAGGAGGAGAATATTTAGGAAGAGGCACTTTTCGAGGAATTTCTTTGGCATAAAGCAAGGATTTTCGTCACGATTGCGTGAGAATATGGCCAGTCCTAATTCATCAAAAGTTAGGTGTGATGCGGCTGAACTAGCCTAACGTAGCGATGAGCGGTTTAGAGGACTCACACCCAGCGTGCCTCCAGGATTTAGTTTGGCGAAGGCAGAATCTTTGCAGGATTGGATGCTGGTGATTCAGCCACAATTTCTGCTGCCAAAGATCCACACTTAGATGGAAGGGTTCTTGAAGCAAAAGCCTTACATATTCCCAACGTCAGAGCAGCACAAACTAGGTGGTGGGGGTTTGGTGCCGTCGAGTCGGCTCCAACTCATAGCGACCCCGTGTAACTGAACGAAACACTGGGGAGTCGTGTGCTATCCAAATGTTAGGAATGAGGGCAAAATGGACGTATATGTACTGGAAGGGGTGGTGATACTTGAACATAGTCTGGTGAGTCATTCACACTACATTGTTGCAAAAAGGACCTCATCTTTTGTAGTTAATTATTTTACAAAGTACTCTTTCTTTTGAACGTTTAGTTGTGGTCTGGGTGAAAGGTTACAGAGCAAATTAGTTTTCTGTACAAGGGTCTTGCTTAAGTGAATATGAAATGTGCAGCTGTTGGGAAGTCTTGACTTACAGTTAATAATTTGGAAGTTGAGGAAGCTTAAATTGATGAGCAAATGTGTGTGGTATCTTTAATATGACGAGAGAATATGTGTCTTTTTAAACCAAAGGGAATAATGTACAATGAAGGTAATGTGTGTGCATGAAATCTAGTGAATATAAGAGCAACAAAAGGATATTTTACATAGAACAAAAAATAGGAAAAAATATATAGATATTAAATAGTTTAGCAGAAGCTGCATGTATCATTTCCAAAATTTAAAGTGTCTAAATTTAAGTGTACTGTTTGTAAAATCATTGCTAACTCCATTATCATTAGCATTATCTTTTTTAAAACTATTTATAATTCACCAGGTTTTTTATTTTATGAAGTAGTCCTGTTATTACTTGTTTTCCATAATACTTATTTAATAAGCAGGTGATCTATTAGCTGTTTACCTTAAAAAGTCCCTTCTTTATACACTCTGTAGTTCCTCTGGTGTGATTTTATTTCTCTGTGTTAGCACGTTGAACGGTTAGCCTTCTTTGAAATATCCATTTACCTCCCTATATCCCTGTAATGTCTAAATTTCCCTCCTTGAGCCAACACACATGATCCAGGTAATGAAGTTTCTTCTTTTATTGTAATGGTGTCATTTCGTGCTTTGTGTGTGTGCGATAAAATACGTGTAACAAAATCGTTTCCACTTTCAACCGTTTTTATATGTACAAGTCAGTAAATTAGTTAACATTGCAGCCATCAGCACGATCAGTTTTCTGGTTTTCCTCCCCCTTGGCAGAAACTCATGTCCCTTTAAGCGCTAACTTCCCTTCCCCCATCTCATGTGCCGCTGGTGATCGGTAGTAAACTCTGCTTGCTAAGCATTTGCCTGCTCTAGCTATTTCATGCAAGCGAGACCATACAATATTTGTCCTTTTGTTTCTGACTGACTTGACTTGCATAGTGGTTTTTTTCTTTAGTGCTGTATTTTCAATGAAAAGTATACACAGCAAAATCGTTTCCTAGTCAACTATTTCTAAGTAGATTGTTCAGTGACACTGGCTTCGTTCTTCTCATTGTGTCTCTGTTCCGGTTGCCGTAGTGTTTTCAAGTCTCATCTGTGCGGTAGCACTTATGAGGAGTTCATTTCTTTTGTTGTTGTTAGGTGTGTCGAGTCGATTCTGACCCCGTGTGCAATAGAACAAAGCATTGCCTGGTCCTGTGCCGGCCTCACAGTCCTTGTTATGTTTGAGCCTGTGGTTGCAGCCACTGTGTCAGTCCACCTGGTTGAGGGTTTCCCCTTTCTGCTGACCCTCCACTTGACCGAGCGTGAGATCCTTGTCCAGAGACTGGTCCCTTCTGACCACATGACCAAAGCAGGTGAGACGAAGTCTGGCCGTTCTCGCTCTAGGAGCATTCCGGCTGCCCAGGATGGGTTCGTTCATTCTTCTGGCAGTCCAGAAGAATGGTGTTACTCAGTAGGCTTCACCAGCACCGCAATTCAAAGTCATAAGTTCTTTTTGGATCTTCCTTATTCATTGTCCAGCTTTCATATACATATGAGGCGATTGAAAATGTCATAGCTTGGTTTAGGCACATCTTAGTCTTCAGGGTGACATCTTTGCTCCTCAATACTACAAAGAACTCTTTTGTAACAGATTTGCCCAGTGCAATACAATATATGATTTCTTGACTGCTGCTTCCATGGGTGTTGATTGTGGATCCAAGTAAAACGAACTCCCTGACAATTTCAATCTTTTCTCCGTTTATTATGATGCTGCTTACTGGTCTAGTTGTGAGATTTTTTTTTTTTTTTTATGTTGAGGTGTAATCCATACATAAGGCTGTAGCCTTTGATCTTCATCAGTAAGTACTCCAAGTCATCTTCACTTTCACCAGGCAAGGTTGTGTCAGCTGCCTAATATAGTTTGTTAATGAGTTTTCCTCCAATCCTGATGTTGCGTTCCTTTTCGTATAGTCCAGCTTCTCAGAGGATTACTTGCTCAGCATACAGATTGAATTTGAGTGCTGACTAGAAGGCTGGCGGTTCAAATCCACCAGCCACTCCTCAGAAGGAAGATTGGGCAGTCTACTTCCATAGTGATACCACCTTGAAAACCCAAGGAGGGGTCGCTATGAGTCAGATCTGACTCGACGGCAGTGAGTTTGTATTTTTTGGTTATACAGCTTGAGTAAGTATGGTGAAAGGATACAACTCTGACACACACCTTTCCTGAGTTTTAATTAGTCAGTTTGTTATGCTGTGGTGGCTTGTACATTGTTGGAGTCTATGCCAACAATATTTTTAGTTCCTTGCAGGAATACCCATGGTGGACAGGTTTCAGTGGAACTTCCAGACTGAGACAGACTGGGAAGAAGGGTGGGGTCATCTGCTTCTGAAAGAACTGGCCATTGAAAACCTTATGAATAGCAGTGAAACATTGTCTGATATGTTACTTTATGCCATTTCTTTTAATGACTGAATAATGGGAGCGCCAGTCAAGCAGTGGTTAAACGCTCGACTGCTAACTGGGTGGATGGAACTACCAGCTGCTCCGCAGAGGAAGATTACAGCCTTGGAAACCCTGGGGGGCAGTTCTCCGTTCCCCTATAGGGTTGCTCTGAGCGGGTTTGGTTTGGTTTGGTATGTATATACTACATGTTGTTTATCCGTGCATATGTGGGTAGACGTTTCCCTTGTTTCCACCTTTTGGTTATAGATAGTGCTGCAGTGAACATTGGCATAAGAGTACCTGTTTGCATCCTTGCTTTCAAGCCCTTAGGGTAATAACTGCAAATGGGACTTTCAGGCCCATATGGTAATTGTATGTTTAATTTTTTGAAGAACCACCAAACTGTTTTCCATGGAAGCTGCACCACCTTCCAACCCCACCAACAATTTCTCAACATTCTCCCTAACAGTTGTTTTCTGTTTTTCCACTAAAAGCTAGCCAGCTAGGGTTGAGATGGTATTATATTGTGGTTTTGATGTATGTTTCCCTAATAACAGGGAGCTCTGGTGGCGTAGTGCCTAAGGCATCTGTCCGCTAGCCAGAAAATTGGCAGTTCAAACCCATCAGCCACTCCACGGAAGGAAGACTGGGCAGTCTACTTCTGTAAAGATTTACTGCGTTGGAAACCCAGAGAGGGTCGCTGTGAGTCAGGATTGACTCAGTGGCAGTGACATTGAGCATCTTTTCATGTGCTTATCGGCTAATTGCATATCTTTGGTGGAATGTCTATTTGAGACTTTTGCTCCTTTTTAAAATGGTGTGTTTGTCATTTTGTTGTTGAGCGGTAGCTGTTCTTTTTATGTCCTGAATATTAAGCCCTCATCAGATAACAGGATTCCCCTAATTCTGCAGGTTGTCTCTTCACTTTGTTGATGAAGTCCAACTGATCTACTAAGTCTTTAGTTGCCTGTGCTTTTAGTATCATATCTAAGAGTCCATTGAAAATTAGCATGTAGTTAAATGTTCTTATATTTTAAAATTGTGGAAATGTTACATGTTTACAATATTTCAAAAATGCATAGAAGAAAATGACCATTAAATACCGTTTGTAATCTCACCACTTGCAGAAAAGTGTGGTGCCTGGTATTTTTTCTTTTCTTCCTCGTGGAGAGAGATTTCACAAGCATTCCTTGTTTTGACGGGAGTTTCCCTTGGAGAATTGACTGGTAGTTTAGTCACTTCATGTCAAATTCAAATCTTCATTTAAAACTACTGAATTTTTCTAGGTTAGAGTCTAAGAGTCGCCCCTCAGATGCGGCTGTGATACCAGCCTGCACTTGCTGAAGGCCTCGTATTTGCCAGGACTGTGCTCTTCCTTTCCTCTGACTTGACGCCTCAGGAATGGGAGTGGAGCCTGTTTCAGAGACAACAGTTTCATTCTTCCTTGCAAGGAGGAGGAGGCAACCTACAGATTCAGATACGGACACTTGGATAGCAGTGGACTCAACACCAGACCCTTCCCACACTACTCCTTGGGCACTA